CAGCTGGAGGGAGAAGTCCAGGTTGCCCACTCAGCCTCCGTTTACACTGGGGGTGGAGGGCTTTTCATTACTGTGAGGTGGAGATGGGTGTTCCAGCTCCTCATTGGGGGTGCCCACATGGCCTTCACTGACACCCAGTGGGGGTGGGGGCCGTGGTGTCCTTACGCTGGGCAGTGGTGAAAGTCCTGATTTTCCTCTGCGCTGCCTCTGACATCACCCCAGTGGGGAGAGGTACCTTGTTACTAACAGGTGGGATGGCAGTCCAGGTTCCCTGTGTGGTCTCCACTGATCCTGTGGCCTTATTACTGCCTAGCAGGGATGAAAGTACCAGCTCCCTACCTCACCTTTTCTGACCCCACCTCAGCTGAGGGGTTTGGGGTACTCCGTTGTAGCCTGGCAAGGATGAAATTCTAGGCTCCCCACTCAGCCTTTGCTAGTGCGGGTAGGAACGGGAGTAAAGCCACAGTTATTAATATTTTTCTGTGCTATTTGGCTGGAGTAGGGCAGTTATTATCTAAAATTTTCTGTCTTTCTAGGCATCCGTTTCCTGGTCCTTTGGCTAGAGAGAGCAGGCATTTGTTGGGGCTTTTTTGTTTGCACACATCTACGCCGATTGGTATTTCTGGGTTCTCCAGCTCTGCTCATCTCTGTGTTGTGCCAAAGTCTCTAGCTAGTCTGTCTTCTTTTGTGTAGCTTTCAGTCTTCTATGTTTATATTATATATATTATTCAGAATTTTTAATTGTACTCAGCAGAGCAGTAGGGAAAACTATGTCTATTCCATCTTCTGGAAGAGAAGTCTATCATGAGTTTTGCCTGCTTGTTTTTTTCCATAAGTGGAATCATATGGTATGTGATATTTTGTTTCTTGATTTTCTTAGTCTGTGTTACGTTTATGAAGGTCATCCTCGTCATCACATGCAGTTGTATTTTGTTCATTTTTACTATTGTCAGTATTTCATTGAATAGATATACTATAATTTACGCATCTGCTATAGACAGGTTGCTCCTAGTTTTGTGCTATTAAGGTTGTTCTGCTGTGAACACATTTGTAGGTGTATTTTTGTGAATATATTACTATTTGATACATATATAGGAGTTGTCATAGTGTATACGCTCAAGATTAGTAGCTATTCCCATTTTTCAAATATATTGTATGAGTATATCAATTTACACCCCACCAGCAATCTATTAGAGTTCCAGTTGCTCCACATCCTCATCAACATTGAGGATGGTTGAGGATGTCTTATCTGAAATGCTTGGGACCAGAGGTGTTTCAGATTTAGGATTTTTTTTCAAATTTTGGAATATTTGCATTATACTTACTGGTTCAACATCCCAAATCCAAAAATGTGAAATCCAAAATGCTACAATGAACATTTCCTTTGAGTATCATGTCAGTGCTCAAAAATTTTCAGGTTTTGGAGCATTTTGTTTTTTAGATTTTCAGATTCGAGATACTTACCCTGTATCTGTCTTTTTTATTTT